ATATTGTATATATATATATATATATAGTGTTTATATGTACCTGATGACGCATTTACTGGTGAAATCATGGTTGCACATAAATGATGTATTTGTGAAACATACAATTGTCTTGTTTTTCCTCAAATTTATAAATAGTGTTTTTCTTTCGCTAATTATCTGACTTTAATTTTTCAAGCTATTACAAAATTATTTGTAAGTAGACCTGGGCAAATTAATCAATTACCTATGAGCAATGATTACATCAATAAGTATCTCATAATCTAATTGATTAATCAAAATTACAATTAATCAATCAATGTTATAAAAATCATTAACTGATGAAACTTAGAACTTCCGATTACTTACTTTCTTTGATTATTCCAACTAAGTATTCAAAATAATACAATTATGCTTGTTTGTTGTTAAACACAAATCTACATAACTGAGGGGGTGGGATCATCATTTAAGGGTCTCACTTTTGATTTCCATTGCTATTAAACTTGTTCACCCTGTCTTTTTTGTTACAAAACTACTAAAGCTATCTGCGACTGTCACTAATCATGAACTACTGACTAGAAAAACAGAATCTGTCTGGCAGCACCCACTGCTAACTCTCTGGCTATTTAAGTGCTAAATAGTGTAAATTTACAGTTTATTTACACTGTGTTATGATTTCTAATTTATAATGAGTAACTATACTCTTTTAATGTTGTATAAGGAGGCATTGATCTAGGAAGAGTTCTAGGGGATCCAGTCCCCCCCTCCATTTTTTCATGAATTTATACTGTATTCTTTCATGATGTATAAGGAGATTCTATCCAGGGGTTTTTCAGGGAACCAAACCTCCTCCACCCCATTTTTTTTAGAAATTCATAACTATTATTTGATGTTGTATAAGTTATGTAGATCTAATGGATTCAAACACCCCTCTCAATTTGTTTTAGAAATTAATGAAAACAAGTCAGATGGTCTTACACTAACATATTTTATCAAAAACAAACATTAGATGTCAGTATTTTTACTTGATTAAATGCTGCATTGCCATGGTAAATTTTTGTGCCTTGCCTTTTTCCACACATACTGACAATACATCTAGGATTTAGTGATTTGTTTTCATTGCAGTTAATATTAATTAGGAAACCTTTAGCTCTTATAAGACTTGTCATAGAATTGATTTTTCATTGTTTAAAAGTTTGAATTATTGTGAGAAAGATGTTTTTGGTATTGCTGGTGTCTAAAATAAGTGAAAATGCAAGTTGTATGACTGTATAACTAACAACTTTTAAAAAATATTTGAAAACAGGCAATTTTTACCAATGCTACATGAAGTATAAATAATTATAATCAATTTTAATTAAAAGATTTAAATGTTTTTAACTGTTTCTCTTCTCATATTAATCACAATACTCAAAATAAAGATAAAAGCTTTGAAATCACTGCATTATAACCTGACTGAAATAATAACTTGCATAATATATTAACTTTATTTCAACTTTGACTTATTTAGGTTACTTTAGGACAATATGACCAACACTGATTAATCCAAAATACTACATTACTGAGGTGAAAGTTTTTCTTTTATATAAAAAAATACTCAAAATTTGGTTACAGTGTTACATAAGTAACTT